GGCCTTTAATCAACAATGGGCCAAATGATTTGACCAAAATTGAGAGTATATTTGTCATTTTAGCTTTATTTAATGTATATTTTTCATGAAATGACCAAAATGATTGATAGTGGACACACTCAAAGATTACTTCTATTGATTTCAAATCTCATGGACCAAAGTGAGGAGTTATGCAAATCTTAAGGACCATTTTGGCTAAAAAGCCTAAGTTGATAGCATCGTGTCAACAGTGGTGGAGCCAGTATGTCTAGACGTGGCCCAACACGCTCTATTTATTTTAGAAGATTTCGGCATATCCTGTTTCGACCAATTTTCGTTTGAGTCTTAAATAGTGTCTTCCTCGTCATCCCCATTCTTCGAATTAATCCACAAACCCGCGATCTAAACTTGTGATATTACGACCCTCATAATTAGTGAGGGATTCATTAAATTTTGCAAAGTGATTTTCAATTTTTTTTTCTTCTTTCTACACTATATTTATTTATGACTGTTAATTAAATTAAATAAATTAAAAATGAATTAATGGACATAAATATATAAGAATGGGTAAAAGAAACAAAAATGTATGTGAAAATTATTTTCTAAATTTTTCATTAAGTCGAGACAAAAATAGGAGGGGAAAAAAAAATCTCCAATAGACAGTAAAAATAATATAATAAAAAAGCAATTGTGTAAAATCAAATGGCAAGCTTCAGAGAATAAAAAAGAGACCCAGGTTTATCAACCTCTCTCGCTGCTCCTCAAAGCTCCCATGGCTGCAGCCTCCGGTCTCCAGCCTCCTCTACAGTGAACTCCATTGAAGCTCCGAGCCCACGAAAAAACTCGAAGGCATACATAATACTAAAATTTTGAACCTGAGAAAAAAGTTAGGGTAGGTCTGTGAGCAATCTGGTTTCTTCGCAGCTCTGCTAGTGCGTGTCGACGTGTTACGTCTTTACACAATAATTTTGGCCATTTGCATCATTCCTCCGTTGAAATATTTAGGAAGAATGATTGAAAGGCGGTGCGCAAGCTGTTTGTCACCTTAGAAACACACAAGGCACTTGCAGCCATGATCATTACTTAATTGAAACGAGCAAAACTTGTATGGTAGCAATTGCAGATGGCACTTCGTTATCAAGTGCTGGAATTCAGTCTTTAAATCATCAATTATCATCACATCACTGACTTTAAACTAAATTAATATGCTTGACGAAAGTTGGACGTAACCTTTTATCTAAATTCAAACATCGTCCCAAATAACACGAGTCATCGAAATTTATCGGGCAGAATATTATGCGATTGACTTCCAACCGCCCCTATCTTGGGGCTCAAGTTTCTGTGCGCCCTCCCCACCCCCCACACAACCCAATTCCGCTCAAGACAAGCAACTTTTGTTTTTTAGGTACAAATTTTTCTTATCTTTCGTTTGACTCTTTCTGAAAAATCAAAATGAATATTATTTTTTGAGTGTGTAAGTGATGATGGGGATAAGGTTTTAACTTTTTGGTTTTCTTTTTTCGCATTACTTTGTCTTAAAATAACAAGAAAGCTATTTAAAATTTGAACAACTTTGTGCCATGTTCGCCGTCAAGCCAACACAGTTGCTCATTGGATAGCTGGGTTCAGCCTAAACGTTGGCAGCCATCTTGAATGGCTTGACCACCCTCCTAGTTTCATTATTGACCTCCTTGTGGAGGATGCTATGTAATTTCCCTTGTACTGCCCCTCACGGCTGTCTTTGGCCTTAGAATCAATTTGCTACTATTGTTTCTCTCAAAAAAATAAAAAAATAAAAAACACAACTATGAAGAGAACATTATCCTTCAAACCATACTTCACAAAAACGCTAGTTACCAACTATCAAGGACCAACATAAGAATATGCTAGCATCAGTTATTTATGACTGACGTACAATCGTTGACAATTGTAAATCTCATAATGGGTCCTTACCAAAATGGTTTCCCTTGTAACCATATGGGCTTCTATTGCTAGGCTAAAAAAAGACCCCATACAAATTAACCAGCCCAGATAAAAGCCCATCAAAATAACCAATTTTCTTCCCCGTTCCCCTATAAGCCCTTGACATTTCCCAACACTCTTTGAGTCTCTCCTTCGCTCAGACCAACATTTGGCGGGAAAATCAGAATGAAGCAGAAAAAGCGAAAGAGCTCGAATTGACTGCCGCAGCCATGGCGGAAGACCAGGACCAAGAATCGGCTGTCTTAGAGGAAGAGTACACGGTCTGGAAGAAGAACAGCCTTTCCTCTACGACCTCATCATCTCTCACCCTCTCGAATGGCCAGTCTCTCACTGTCCACTGGGCTCCCTCGGCGCCGCAGCCCCACACCGACCCATCTCTCGCCGCCCACAAGCTCATTCTCGGGACCCACACCTCCGATGACTACCCCAACTTTCTCATGGTCGCCGACGCCCTCCTACCCACATCCCAACCCAACTTTGGCGCCATTTCCGAAAATGACCCTGTGGTGCCTAAGGTACTGAAAGATCGGTCCTTTCCTTTACTCTCATTTGGAGAAGTAATTTCTCAGTACCAATTTGGTGCCTAAGGTACTAAAAGATCGGTCCTTTCCTTTACTCTTATTTGGAGAAGTAATTTCTCAGTACCAATTATTACTTATAATTTCCAGAATATGAAGTCGGTTCTTATTAATTTGAAGAAATGAGTCGTGGGTAATCTCAAGCTCTGAGAATTATTTTGTGGGCACCAACTGTATGTTAAAATTTCTGCTGGAAATGCTTGCATTTATGCTTGGTGTGATTATAGGTGGAAATAACGCAGAAGATTCGTGTCTTTGGGGAAGTGAATAGGGCACGGTGGATGCCGCAGAAGTCTGACTATTGTGGGTGCAAAGACCAGCGGTGCTGATGTTTATGTGTTTGATTGTTCCAAACAAGAAGGAAAGAAGCATCAAGATGAGGCCTGTGATCCTGATTTGAGGTTAAGGGGCCATGACAAAGAAGGGTATGGCCTGTCATGGAGCTCTTTGAAGGAGGGTAACCTTTTGAGTGGTTCATATGATTGTAAAATTTGCTTGTGGGATGTTTCTGCATCGGCTCAAGAGAAAGTGCTTGATCCAATCCATGTTTATGAGGTAAATTTCGGGCTATAAACTTGTAGTTCTTGATAGGAGTTTTTCGAGTTTCTATTAGGTGTTCAGTGTTTTTAATGTGTGAGTTGTGAATGTCCGTTTTTAGCGTCATGAAAGTGTGTGTGCTTGGAGATGTTTCATGGTATCCGAAGAATGAGAATCTGTTCGGATCTGTTGGGGATGATTGTCAGTTGATGATATGGGACTTGCGCACTGACCAAACACAGGATTGTGTCAAAGCTCATGAGAAAGAGGTGACTGCAACTTTAAACAACTTCACATATATGATTGTGGCTTTTCAATATGTTTGTAAGATTTCACCTTCCCGAGTTACTAACCCTTAAAAAGAAGTATTTCGTTTATGGCTTCACGTCGGGCACTATTCTCTAAATTTCCATTCTCATTTGTTTGATGATCTCAGATAAACTCTCTTTCAATCCATATAATGAATGGATTTTGGCCACAGCATCTTCAGACACGACCGTCGGTCTGTTCGATATGAGAAAGCTGACCATTCCATTGCATGTTCTGAGTAGCCATGGGTAAGCTTCCTATGCCCGCTCCTCCTTGTAAAATGTGTAATACTACCATCATGTTTTCTTGTCGAAGGTACCGATATTATATAATGATACATACTCTCTATGATGACACGATTGGCAAGTTTTTTATGAACTCTTTTGGGTCGGAAGTACAAAACCAATATCCTGTTTTTGATGTTTGAGTAGTCTGATTCCTGAATCTACCATTTACTAATTCTCAATTGTTTGTTTCAAGTGAGGCAGTTAAGTTTACAGCTTGTCTGCACTTCCATAGATTCTTAATATATTGTGCAGTAGAAATACCAAAAAATATAATTAGATTTTGAACCCTAAATTTTGAATTAATCAATGCATAGTTATGTATTTGGATATGGTCTTCTCATGTCCTAGAAACATATTATTGGGGCTTCATCGTTTTTCATATATTCGTGATTGCAGGCCACGCCAGTAAACCAAGACTCCTAATCCTGTATTTGTTTCTTCCCTTGCAGGGAAGAGGTGTTCCAGGTTGAATGGGATCCTAATCATGAAACCGTGTTGGCATCTTTCGCTGACGACAGGAGGTTGATGGTTTGAGACCTCAACAGGTACTCGATTTCACATATTGTTTTTGCTAGAAATGCTATTGTTTATGTTCATCTTCTAGGTTATGTTCACTTCATCATGTTCCATTCGACTGCAACGGGATTATTGAGTTTATATATTAGGTTTAAAAACTTCAAATTTGGGGTTGTTTTACGCGGTTATGCGTTTTTAGGGTTGGGGAGGAGCAGGCAGAGGGAGATGGCGATGACGGGCCACCAGAACTTCTCTTCGCACAAGGCGGTCACAAAGCAAAGATATCAGATTTCTCGTGGAACAAAAACGAGCCATGGGTCATATCAAGTGTTGCTGAAGACAACACTGTTCAGGTTTGGCAGATTGCTGACAGCATATTTGGCGACGACGATGTTGTGCAAGTCCAACCTTCCAATGTCTAATCAGAAAAATTCGACCGTGAGAGCTGTTTTAAGACTTTCTAGAGATAGATTATGGGGGTAGAAGAGCATGTAGCTTCAGAAATTACTGTTGTATAATCGGTTTGGCAAACTCTAATAAATCTTCAACTAGTTTTCTTTTCATTCTACATCCATAATCAAGAAACAATACGTAGCATAGTGCTACGAGGATCTTATAGCTTACTTGGTTAATATTGTTCGTTCATTTACGCTTCACGGTGGATTAGTGTGGTTCCACTACGCGTGGGACAAAAGCATATTGGCTAGTGATTGCGAGGCTCAAATTCTTGCCCCGAGGAGACGCCAAAGGTCGTCCCAAGGTTATTCGGCTGGTAAACTTCCGAATCTAAAGTTGTTTTCAGGACTTTACATGAAAAATGAAGCATCTACTTTATAAACCATGGCCCCTTGTCAAAAGCTAAAGACCTGGCCCCAAAGCAATTATCCTTGTACGACCAACAAAAGATGGACATCTTCACAGTAATTTCCGACACTGACAATATCTAATCCCATCCGACTTGGGTTGACTGCCTCATCCGACTTGAGTTGGTAAGCCTGAAGCGAAGGCCGTTGCTGTCCCTGTCAGGAAAGATGCCAAACATCTCCCCTTCTATGATGACCAACATGAATAAAAATCTAACAATCTTCTTCCTAGCAATTACTCTCAAAATATCATCTTTTCCATCACTTTGAATCCTTTCCCCTCATTTACGAATCAATCATCTGAAAATAACAGAAATAAAAAGAAGAAATTTTATAATGCTCAGTCCCTCGAGATGAAAATCAGGTTACTGAGATATCACGATACACCAACTCATAGTATAGATGAAAAAGCAATGTACGAAATTCACAATCAGTTTAATGGGTGGGTTGGTTAGCATACGCACATTCTTTTCATCATTTGACTGACCATCGAAAGGCAGGCAATCAACCTACAGACATCCCCGTCCTTGCCATTGTCATCTTTACGCCAATGGTGGAAATAGGGTTTCCACTGACCTTCGCAATGGCCAGATGGCAGATGCATCACTCAAAGGGCAATATACTGTGAAATTTGTCCACTAGTCACTCACCAATTGTGGATGACATGAATCAATTGGAAAAAAAAAAAAAAAAGATCTAGAACAAAAAGCTTCTTTCCCGACAGAAATTTATACTTTGTTCTTTTTACCAAAACCCTAGCTCTATTAACTTATTTGGTGCAGAGAAACACTAAATCAACACTCACCTGCTCACAGCTCATAGTACTGAAACATGAAGGGAATCACATGCCACCCTCTCTATGTTCTGTAATTCAGCAATCAAGAATTCACGTGGCTTAGAAGGAGGAATGACTAAATGAGAACTACTTATAGCATATTCAAATGAAACTCAGCAAAACAACATAAGCCGGAAGTAATTTGACTGACATATCAGTAGCCTAAAGGTAGTAGAAGGATAAGAGAAAAAAAAAAAATTTGAGTTTCATAGAAAACCGTTAAGTTGCTCTGCCATAAGTTTCACCGGCTACACATCATCTAAGTTTACAGCACTAAAGGACATGCAAACTTAAATCAAACTTGAAGGATACTAGCAGTGAATCCAGCAAAACTTCAGCTTGACATCGATAAACCATACCCGTTACAAGGACCTAACATATGGTTCAAGTAATACAAAAATTGAAAAAAAAAAAAAAAAAAGTACAAAACGACCTGAACGAAAGCTGATGCTGCAGTTCGAAGAACTACTTATTGCATGATGATAAATGTACTCTTCAGGACAATGTCAATGCTTCCTTACTGATTTTTTCAGTTTGCTGCTGCGGCTCGAGTCCTTCCTAAAATGACAGACCATAATAGTCAGTTAAAAGATTGCACACTTCCAAGTTCCGAACAGCTGTTTCAAGGTCCATTAATTTCATGGACAACAAAAGAATAATCTTCAGCAACTCGCACGGGAGAAAGAAAATTAGTAAAGTAAATACTACTGGTTTGGTTCATAATTAAGTTAGGTCACAAAGGGTTCATGCATATTTTGCAACTACGGAATTATTATGGAGGATTTGTTTTATTCATATATACAATGACTTGTCCATCTACCTCAATGAAATTAATCCTTTGTGACTAGATGTAGTGCACAAGAACCATATATACGATGCAGGCGTAAAAGACTCACAAGCCAAGTTCTGTGTATAAAGATTCAAAATTTCTCATGGTTAAAACTTAAATCCCACCTAAAATGCTTACAAAGAACCCAACTAAAACATCATAACAGGCAACAATATCAGAATATCAGATAACATAAATAACTGAAAAGTTAGAAAATAACTCCGATTAACCAACTGACAAATGCAAAATAGTCATAACCATGAGTCCATACAGTTCAAAAGGCTAAGAGATCTAATGTCTTACTTTTCCTCTTGCTTGTGCCAGATGAATTTACATTTGACGCCTCATTTCCAGGCCCACATGCAGGAAGCTCCTTGGCTCCTCCATCCTGATTAACCAAACACTGAAGACTCTCAAAATCACAGCCGTTAAAATCCTGCCCATTCATCATTGCACCATCTCCACATTTCCCATCCATCCCTGGATGAGGGCAGTAAAGCTGATCATCACACTGGACATTACATGGATTCATAAAAAAGGCATTGGGCATATTTGGCTTGGGCAGGCTCGGATTCACTGATTTCTGATATGGAAAAGACCCAATTTCTCCTTCAATCCTTCCTCGAATGTCTACAAGCAAACACTTGAGCCTAGCAATCTCAGCCTCCAATGCAGGCTGACCCTGCAACCTCATCACCAACTGCCGATTCTCAGCTCTCAAATTCACAACTTCAGCCTCCAACAACTTAACCCGCGCCTTCTTATTCTCGCGGTACTTACGAACTGCTACCTTATTACCCAAAGGCTGCTTCTTTGATTTCTTTTCACCAGACTCACAAGTATCATCAGCCTTGTCTTCACTCGCTGAAGACACAATTTTAGTGTGGACATGAAAGCAAGTGTGTGTGTGGGAGTAATCGGGGCCAGGTGGGTTGCAAGTGTGGGTGTGAGTGCAAGCGTGAGTGTCCTTAAGCAGGTCATCAAAGAAGGTGTCCATTGAGCAACTACTCGCAAGTTCACCGCCCATGTTTGCAGACGAAAACACCTCCTGGTTCGAAAAATCAACCTCGTGGTCGTCCATTAGGGCAACGAACAAGCAACAAGCCCCAATCGAGTGAAAAAGCACCTAAATCTCCCGATAATCTGAACAGACTGAAACCAGAGAAACCCAGATGGAAAATTGAGCTTCTTGATTCGTGTTCTACACGAACAGAGTGAAATCTACCGATTACACGACCCAGATAAGATTTGAACAATACAAAGTCCAAAATCAATTAGAATTGGCTGAAAACCAAAGATTTCCAGCGCGGACGATTAACAGTAGGGACAATTCAAAGGGGTAAATTGATGAAATAGTAGAACTACTCAACGCGATTGAAGTTCTGTGGCTGGTAGGAAATAATGGAGGAATCCTAGGGAACAGAGAGGCGGTGGGAAAGGGGAAGAAAATACGATAAAGATGAACACACCATTGACATGGATTGGCTAGTGGTTCAGAGGTTCCGCGGACTCTCTCTTTCAAAACTGAGTCGACTCACTTCGGATGTCCTCTCTCTCAGAGAGAATGTTTTATGAAGGTTGATCGTGGCCGTTCATTTGGCGATATCATGAGGTGAATATTAACACCGTTTGGGATTTTTCTTTTTGGGCAAAAGAGTTGAAAAAATAATTAGGCTAACTCGAAAATGGTTAGCCACTTTTGATCCGTTTTCCAGTCAAACTACGGTGAGTTAGCCATCGAGAAAGGTACCATTCACTTCCTCTCGTCGAGAAGTATGATTTTCGTTTTTGAATCACTCCATTTCGTTGAGTATTGAAGAAGTTACCAACGTTTAAATTTTACCCAGTTTCCGGCGAGTTTTCCAGTTTTCCCAAGAACCAGTCACTTTTCAGGCTATTTTCCGGTCATATCTGGCAACCATTGGGCTTTCAAATATGTATAATCTTGTTCTCCACTTTCTTGTCTTCATTTTGATATATTATGGGTCAAATTTGGTTAAGAATCGATTGAGTTACGAAGTTTTGAAAATTGCCCAAAGAGTTTTTAACGGAATGACCAAAATCATGGATGGTGGACAATCTCAGGGATCATTTCTATTGATTTTCAATCTCAGAGACATTTTTATTGATTATGCAAATTTCAGGGACCATTTTGGCTATTTAGCCAAAAAATAATTAGGTTTAGCCCTAAAGTGTTAGAACATGTGTACTCAACTTTGTAAGATTTTTAAGGTTTGAACCATATCAGTTTTTTTTTTTTTTTTGTCAAAATGTAAACTTTATTAGATTCTAATTGAAACGTTTACATTTTCAGGTTAAAAAGAAATTCAAGGCCTAGGACATCCTAAAAAAAGAAGCCACTATGTACGGTGACATATGAAGTGTTGTGCCTTGGCCCGTTCGTTAGTGCGGAACCGAGATTCAGATTATAACCTCACCAAAATCACACACAGTTGAACAAAATAAAATACAAGAAATAAAGACACAGAGAAATTTACGAGGTTCGGCAAAAGACTGCCTACGTCCCCGGAGAGATATTGCTCTTCACTATGAGAATAACAGTACAAGTATACATGAGTTAAATCAACATAACCCAATCCCATATCCCTTGTACACCCACTCACAGAATTTTCCCAAGAGCCTCACTCTACCCCAAGAGTTCTTTCACTAGAGACCTTTCCACTCTAGCTCTCTTGTTTTCTCTCACCCTTACCCATGGTAGAGCCAAATGCTCTCACCATCTCTTTGGATGCTTTACATCTCTTCATCCGTTCCTTTGTTTTGCCAAATGCTCTCACCATTTTATGCTTTTCTTAATCCAAGCCTTCTCCCACAAAACATGGCTTTGAAAAAACCACAAAACATGGCTTTGAAAAAAGCCACAAAACATGGCTTTGAAAAAGCCACAAAACATGGAACTAATTTGGCCATTATCCAACATGAAGCCACAGCGTGAGCAGCAAGATCACCACTCCGCTTAACGAACAAGAACTTCCCCTCTCCTATTTGAGGTGCCAAGGACTTAATATCATAAATGAAACAATCAAAAGTAGCATCCACCGAACAAACTCCTTGAATCATTTGAATAAGAGCAAGAGCATCTGATTCAATCTCCACCTTCTCACATCCCAGTTCGCTTCCTACCACCAGCGCCGCACGGTCAGCAGCAGCTTATGCCATGGCTGCACTATGAAAAAAACCTCCCCCCCTCCCCGCCAACCATCTTCAACAAACCTGCAAAGTCTCTCAACACATATCCGTAACCACCTTTCACTGATTGCCCACACCATGCCCCATCACAATTGAACTTCAATGTCCCATAGTTTGGACGTTTCCACCTCACCTCTTTCTCCGCAAAAACCAGAAGGGTAGCAGCACCATCACCCATATCCTTCTTCAGTTTCTTTTTTTAATGCTTTTAATTATTATTTTTTTTAAATGATAATTTTTAGATTTTTTAAAGTTAAATTAATCTTGATCGTTGAATTTCAATAGTCACTTATTGTCGTCCTATAAAGTAATAGGGAAAACTTTCATCATCCAACAATCTACAAAATTTCATTCTATCATTTGGTGATTATATTGAAAAACCGAGTTTCTGGCAAGCTAATTAAACAAGCTGCATGTTTTCATCCTCACACTGTTACTTCTATAATTTATTTGATGAGCTTTTATGGGAAATAATTTTATTCGAAATGCTTTTATTATAAACATCATGAAACTTGCATGCCAGTGAGCCTAAGCTTGAGCTCGAAAAAAATTATACAAACCAAGCTTAAGTGTAGTGATACTCAGTTCGACTCGATTCGTTTACAGCCCTAAACACAAATCAATATCTCGGTGCATGCCGTCCCCTCCACCGGGTAACTTGTGGAATGGTGTAGGTGGACAAACCCTAATACAACTGATTAAGGTAGGTTTCCTTTATTAATTAAGCAACTTATTTTTCTCATGGTTTCTTTTTTTTTTTTTTTTTTTTTTTTGTCAAAATTTATCTCATGGTATTTTACATGGCCAATTTTTGTTACACAACTAAAATTTTATTTCTCATAAATCTTAATCCGCAAGTGGCCCTTTACACATATAATACACTTCTAAGACATTAAGAATGAGTACTCAATAGATCAAAAGCTTAATTTGTGTAAAAAATACACAGTTTTTCTACTTTGAGTGTATTTGCACTGGTGGAAAGGTGTTGAGCCATTACATGACAGCATAGGTTCAAACTCTGTCAGTGACTAATCTAATAAAATCTATCTTTTGACAAAAAAAAAAAAAAAAAAAAAACAAAATCCTAATCCAATTAGAAATTGGAAAAACAAATCCTAAACCAATTGGAAATAGGAAAGTAGAACAAATCCCTTTACAATCAGGAAAGAAAATAGGAAACTATATATAACAACAAAGCAGTATGCTCCAAGGGCATAAACCAAAGCAACTACAAAGTAGAAATTAAGACCCGATTATTTCCCTTCTTCTTCCATCTAGTTCCTCAGTTAAAAGGTTTGACAATGATGTCCGCATCATGTAGTACTCTGCAGATGATGGACACACGAAAGGAGAAGGCCGAAAGAGAAAGAAAGAATGATAAGACCAGCAAGAGGAAGACAAGGGATAACAATGCAGACACTGATAATCTCTTTCCATGTCTTCTTCAACTGAAGAAACCGCGTCTCGATCAAGCGCTCTCTAGCAGACAAACGGAAAGCAGTTCCATGCAGGTCGAGTTGCTATTCCGAGAGCTAATTTCGAATTGGGTTCCTCCTCCCTTGGAGACTCAAAACACTAGTGAGTGTGACGATCAGCAGTGGCTCTTTGATAAGGCGCCGCTGAGAATGGGAGGCACGAATCCAAAAACTAGTGCGAGCATTGATATTGGTTTACGCTATTATCCATATACAACAATATTTTAGTTATTAGTGCGAGAAACTCATGCCCTAAATTTGTGCACGTTTTGATGTAATCAGATTGCAGTATAATTATTCCACAATTCTTTTATATCTACATTGCAAAAATTGTTACTAAACTTTCTGTTTAGTTTGACCAAAAATAAATAAATAAACCTCTTGTTAGTTACTGATAACATGATAAATTCATCAGGAATACGAAACGAAATAGTTTAAGTTAGAATCCACGAGCAAACTAGAATCCACGAGAAAACCTCAACTCATGAATTACAACCCTAGGCTTGCCAGGAACTGTAATAGAAATGAAAAATGCGAAAATAACAAAATACTAAAAACATCCTCTGAAGTACTAAATATCGTTTGGGCGCTAGTAAACAATAAAATTTCGCCAAAAATGCCCATATGTAATTGCAAAATATTGTGTCTTGTTCCTGAGGCTGTTCACTTAAAAAAGGCGAGTTATGTTCAAAATTGAACACCAGAGCCAAATCCGTAATATTTAGGCCTTGTTGTCGATTTATAGTTATCCAAGAACTCACGCATTTCTTTGTGCGCAAGCACCTACACCGCACGAGCATCACATAAATATAAAACTAGTAGCAACAAAAGGTCTATATATGTAGCTTTTGCATATGAGCCCTGATAGGGGTTTTACTACACACCTAAAAGGGTTAAAAACTCCTATACTTACAAGAATAACAAGGTTATTGTAGTATAAACGGTTCTCACAATATCATTCTACATAGGATTACTAAATAATTCAAAGCAAACCAAATTTCAATTAATTATTGTAAAATAAAAATTTGAGATGATTGATTTTTATGACCTAATTTAATAAAACGAATTTAATTAATAAAAATAAAACAATCAGCAATATTAAAGCTGAAAGAAAAAGAAACAGTTTTTAAAATACCAATTTATAAAAACACTAGGGTTCCACCATATAACGTATATCTAACATGCAATCCGTTCGGACATTCGGATCAAATATGAACATGAGAGACTCATTAAGTTTTATGAAAACCCTTTGAAAAATCATGCAACCCTTAAGACGTGGTGTTCATCTAAAGTGAATTACAATTATTAAGCACAAGAAGCCAACGCCAATTTCAGGGAACCTTCCGACCAAAATTGCATCAAATTACTTTTCTAAAGATCCTAATGGGATCAGGCATTAAGACAATTAGATAGTTTTAATCATGGTGATTAATAATTTAAAGTATGCATGCAATCAATCATAAGCAATTAAATAAAAATCACATATTCATGCTAAGGCTCAAGGCTTCGCCCTAGTAAAAGAAATTAGTTATGCATATTCATAATTGAAATCATAGAAAATATTATTAAGAATAGAAGGAATGAAAATACCTTAAAGTAGAAAATCTCCAGGAACCCTAGCAATTACTCTTTGTCTCCAAAGTTGCATAAAAGAAAGCGTAGCCTGAAAACTAAGAACGGCAAAACAATAAAACCTGCTATGCCATCGCACAGTCCCTAAAAACCAGGTCCTTTATTCCAACTAGGAAACTAAGAATAATAAAATAAAATAACTTAGAAAATAAAGCCCTAATTAAGTTAGGATAATCTGCCAAGTACTTGTCTAGCCACGTTTTAGCCTCAAATATCCTCCAAATTTGGCCCATAATAACTTGTTTTGAAGATCA